ATGAGCACTCTCCACGAGTGATCTCCCGAGGCAATCCACTCCTGAAATATCTCATTCATGATGGCTTCCGGCCTGTAATGCTTGGTCAACTCGATTCTCTTGATTTGTGAACCATCGTCGTCATTTAGAAGAAATATCCCGAGCTGGGAATAGTGAGAGGCGCACCTCTGGATGATACTCAGCTCGCCCCTCGGGGTGGGCAGTGAATGGAGAAACGGAAGTGTAGCATCCTTCGTTAGCATCCTGGCACTTGCATCAGCATCACCTGAGTTTAGAAGTGACAAACACACTTTCTTTCCAATTACACGGAAGAGGCAAACACAAGATGTGCAAACTTCTCCTACTTACTTGATATGCCCAAGCGCCGCTGCTGGATATCCAGGGCTAAAGCCCTTTCTCCTACACTGCGAGTGTTCAGAGCATCTACCACCGTCTGCCACGATACGTTATAACCGTTGTTTATCCATTGGCCAAGCATGTCGCTGAGCGCCTGGTTGCAGTTCCCCCGGTGTTCGTAGTCTATGGTCTTCAGTGTCGGCTGAGATACCTCTAGCTGGACACCAACGGCCCGCCATTTAGAGGCAACATCATGTAGATCGTCCACCAACTCCTTCAGTTTAGGAGGTTCCGTCGACATTTTAGTTTGGGAAAGAACGGGGGGCGTGGTTTGCATTTACGCATGCGCTATGAAACACAAGCGCATGCGCGGTGGATTACGCGACCGTTCGATGCTGAGTCAGCAAACTGCGTATGTACGCGGTGTGTGCGTGCCTTGGAAGAAGGCGAGCGAGCTGCCACCATGGCGTCCTCTGAAGGCGGGCAGGCGACCACCAGCTCTTTGTATTCCACGTCAACGCTGGAGTCGGCGAGAAAGGCCAAGGTTTCCATGGAGACGTTCTACGAGAATCTCCTAATACAAGACAGAGATAGATCCAACAGGTAAAGGGAGAGGGAGAGGGAAAGGAAGGGGAGGAAAGAATAAAGGAGTCACCCCACTCTTGGTTATCACGTGAGCGGTGACTAGTAGTACAGTACACACAGTACAGAATATGTACCAACTTGGGAATGAATATGAGAGTGGATATGTTCTATTACAATGTAGTGTATATATTATGATGTGAAATGTTGATATTTGTTGTGTCTGTCTGACTGACTGAATGTGTGTGTATATAGATGGAAGAAACTGGAGTTGAGTATGGAAGAGATGGGACTGTCAGCGGAGGAGGTATAGTCGTTCTCTTTCTCTTTACAATCTTTCATGTTAGGGCTGTATGTTTCTTTTCATTTTCATTTTCACACACTCACTCTCTCTCTTTCTCTCTCTTCTCTCTCTTTCTCTCTTCTCTCTCTCCTCTCTCTCTCTCTCTCTCTCTCTCTCTCTTCTCTCCTTCTCTTCTCTTCTCTCTCTCTCTCTCTCTCTCTCTCTTCTCTCTCTCTCTCTCTCTCTTCTCTCCTCTCTCTCTCTCTCTCTCTCTTCTCTCTCTCTTCTCTTCTCTCTTCTTCTCTCTCTCTCTCTCCTTCTCCTTTCCTTCTTCCTCTTCTCTCTTCTCTCTTCTCCTCTCCTCTTCTCCTCTCTTCTCCTGTCACTCTTTTTCTCTCTCTCTCTCGTCTCTCTCTCGGCTTACTCTCTCTCTCTTCTCTCCCTCCTCCCCCATCAGAGAGAGGAGCATAGACAGATCCACGCTCAAAAAGAGACTCAATTTCTTCGTCTCCGCCGCTCGCGACTCGGGAAGAAGGACTTCAAGTGTCTCAAGATTATAGGGAGAGGGGCTTTTGGCGAGGTGGCTCTGGTTCAGAAACAGGATACTGGTCACGTGTACGCGATGAAGATTCTCAGGAAGGCCGACATGTTGGAGAAGGAACAGGTATGAGGGAATGGGAGTATGAGAGTATGAGAGAATGGGAGTATGAGAGAATGGGAGGTATCAAAGTGTGAATAAACCTCTGAAAAAGGGTACCTTTGTGATATTATTCAGATGTGTCGCAATACTCCAATGTGTATGGGGCAGAACCAAGTGTCCTTTATTCAGAGGTGTCCTTTATTCAGAGGATCCTTTTTTGGAGGTTACACAAGATGAACAAAACTCCCTCTCATACATGTATGATGCTAGGTACCACTCCCATCCCTATACACTAAGTACTACAGCCTACCTAGTGATATGATCCTTCTCTCTCACTCTCTCTGTGTGGCCAGATTGCACATGCGAGGGCTGAGAGGGACATTCTAGTGGAGGCCGACAATCCCTGGGTGGTGAAGATGTACTATTCCTTCCAAGACTCTGTCAGTCTGTACCTCATCATGGAGTTCCTTCCCGGAGGTCAGTACCACTGTATGGGAGTATGGGAGAATGGAATAGTGGGAGTATGACTGTATGGGGAATGAGATTGTGACAATATGGGATTATGGAATTGTGAGATAAGGACGGTATTGAAGCATGGGATTATGAGAGTCTGGAATTATGATTGCATGACTGTATGGAGTATGGGATTATGGTGGCATGAGATTTTGACTGTATGGAGTGTGGGATTGTGGGGCATTCAATTGGAGTTGATGATGTCATCGACACTGTAGGTGACATGATGACTCTGCTAATGAAGAAAGACATTCTCTCAGAGGACGTCACTCGGTGAGAACTCATACCCCATACCCCCATTCCCCATATCGCCGTGTTTCCATTCCCCCATATCGCCATTCCAGGTTCTACATAGCGGAGACGGTATTGGCCATAGACTCCATCCACACTCTCAACTTCATCCACAGAGACATCAAGCCTGACAACCTTCTCCTGGATGCCAAGGTAACCAGCCACCCTGCTCCTCTATAGTCATACTCCTATATAGTTTTACCCCATTCCTACGTTCTTAATCCAGGTGGTTCAATTCCCATTCCCAAATATTATTCCAGCCAGACCCATTCCCATTCCTCCGTGCCCAGTCGAGGCAGTCCCATTCCCATTCCCCCAATCATATTCCAGACAGTCCCATTCCATTCCCCACTCCTATTCCAGACAGTCCGTTCCCATTCCCTCACTCATATTTTCCAGACAGCCCCGTTCCCATTCCCCCATTCCAGGGTCACATCAAGCTGAGTGACTTTGGACTGTGCACGGGACTCAAGAGAGGCCATAGAACTGACTTTTACAGAGACCTCAACAACGTGGACTTGTGTAAGACGGACCACGGGGGGAGGAGAGGGGAAATTGCTGCTCACTTTACAATTTTATCTATGGATACACGATGCAACTTTGTTGCATGAGAGAATGTTGCATAGTGTATTATAGACTGGATTTTGTGAAGTGAGCAGCGATCTCGTGAATGTATTGATCATATTATAGGCCATGCAACAAAGTGAGCAGCGATCTCGTGAATGTATTGATCATATTATAGGCCATGCAACAAAGTGAGCAGCGATCTCGTGAATGTATTGATCATATTACAGGCAATGCAACAAGGATGCATGAGGAATTGCCTGCACCGTGCTGCATCATCTGTCACATTTGAAACTGAGTCTCATGATGCAACAAAAGTGCATCGTTGTGTGATTTCAATTGTCCTTTCTTTGTCGCAGCTGACCCCCGGGACTCGAGAAGGTTTGCACAGGCGTGGAAGAGAAACAGGAGAGACAGGGTACGCCGAAATACTCCCTCCCTCCCTCCCTCCCCTCTCTTTCTCTTCCCTCTCTTCATTGCTTCATACAATGTTTTTCGAGGAAGGAATATGGTTGCTTCTTGTCATTACAACTTGATTCCCGTGTGCAAAATCTCTTGAAACGATCCTTGGAAACGCTCCACACCATATTGTAAAAGTTCCCCACATTGTATACACAAACCCCTCCCCCCTCCTCCCCAGGCCTACTCAACGGTGGGAACGCCCGACTACATCGCTCCGGAGGTCTTCCTCCAGACTGGATACACACATCTCTGTGACTACTGGTCCCTCGGTGTCATCATGTATGAGATGTTGATGGGTGAGTCGCTTCAAGTCAGTCTAGTTTCAAACCAGTTTGACCAGTTTTGTATCCTGGTTCTAATGTGAATATTGTTCGTTCTCGCGATGATTGAGTCTTCGTGTCAGTCTAGTTTACCTGGTTTCAGACCAGTTTTGTATACCGGTTTTAGTGAACGGGTCATGGATATTTCTTCTTCTTCTCTTCTTCTAATTTTTGCAGGTTTCCCTCCGTTTTGCTCGGAAAGACCACAAGGTTTGTTCCAAAATATTTCTAAGGTGCACAATTTTGGTGCTGAATATATGCTCGAAAAATATTGCTGTATGTATGTGCGTGTAAATTGGCATTCTTCATCTCCACCACATACCACGTGTCCTGTTCTCTCTCTCTCTCATTAGACACATACCGGAAGATAATGCACTGGAGACAGCATCTCGTCTTTTCCCCCGAACTACCTCCTACTTCACGCGACTCAGAGGCCCTCATTAGGAAGTAAGTCATCATCTCAAACTTGATAATTGACTATTATGTTAAATGTGGCAGTATATAAGGACTAAAATTAGATATCTAACTAAAGATAGAACAAAACAATAGGGGCACAGTGAAAGAGTGAGTTTCGTTTTAGTAACATTTCTAAATTTGTCCTTTATGTATAATTATACTGCCACTTTCTTTAGATTTAACATACAAGACTATACTATATTGTTTGTGTTTGTTGAAATGTTAAAATATATTATTATTTATACCATATTTTAGGTTATTATGCGACGTTTCAGACAGAATTGGCACTAACGTAGAAGAGGTCAAAGCGCATACGTTCTTCAAAGGAACGGACTGGGACCACATCAGGTTTGGAACGGAACGGAGACAGGTAGCTGTTGTTCATTGGTCCCATTCCCATTCCAGGGACCGTCCCGCCGCCATTCCAGTCCACGTCAAGCACATGGCAGATACATCAAACTTCGATGACTTCGAGGAACTCAGCGATCAGAAGAAATGTTGGTCCAACTTTTTATCCTGTCGTCCGTTCGACCCTCTTCTCTTCTCTCTCTCTCTCTCTCTCTCTCCCTCTTCCTCTCTCTCTCCAGCATTCAACGAAGACAGCGAAGAAGCACAAAGAGATTGGGTCTTTCAGAACTATACCTTCAAAAGGTTCGAAGGCCTCACGCAGAGAGGACACCTTCGACTCTAATTAAAGAGCACTACCGCTGTTTCAAAGAGCATGAGTAGACATGTTTTGCTAGCCATGCGAAATGAAACAATAAATTATTTCCGTTTTTTTTCACACTTGCTATATACGTCTCTTTTCTTCATGTACAATAACTAGTGTGTATGGAAACAGTCGTTTGTCGCCAGGGGAACAAGACATCTTACATTAACACTTAACCAGCCAAGGACACATAAATGTGTCCATTGTCTCCATAAGCAGCAAGATTTTATACGGGAGGTTTTAATACCAGGTGTTAATACTTTGTACATGGTTTCTGCTTTCCATGAAAAAATGGCAGGCTCTATTTCTGTTTGAGGGTAAAAAATATATTAGGTTGAAAAATTGCCAACTTTTTATCATTTTCGTATTACCCGTGGATTGTTTAGTGCACAAAAAAAACAAAGGTTGAAAAAAAAATTTTTAAAAACGCCCAGCCCTTCATCTCTCCAGACAGACGTCTACGGACGTAGTGCTATGCCGAACTGTACGCTGGCCTTTGAGAAACATGGGTCAGTGGTAGATTTGTGGGTAAGGGGAGGAACCAGAGCTGTTCCCAGCCAATGCTCTGGACCACCTGACATTTTAGTGCGGGATCGAGGATTCGAACCGGGCACCTATGGTGTCAGTCCCCACGGCTCTAACCACCTAACCACTCGGGCTGGCCTTGAGAGGTGATGAAAAAACGTTCCATATATTATACCAACACTCCTATTACATCATTGTAAAAAAGGTGCACACACCCGGGATCGAACCAGGGACCTCACGATCAAGAGAGGGGGTGCTTATCCATCAGACCACCACCATTAGAACAGCGTAAATAAAAGCACCTGAAGTGCAAACCCTCGGCGAACAGCGATACCGCTAATTGATGGGCTGGGCTATTAGTAGTATGCGTTTACTCGTGGGTATAGTAGCTCGCGGAGTGACACGGGCTAGCTACACTAGTAGATAGCATGCGGGAGTCTGACACGGGCTAGCTACACTAGTAGATAGCATGCGGGAGTCTGACACGGGCTAGCTACACTAGTAGATAGCATGCGGGAGTCTGACACGGGCTAGCTACACTAGTAGATAGCATGCGGGAGTCTGACACGGGCTAGCTACACTAGTAGATAGCATGCGGGAGTCGATACACGCCCTTCGTTGTGCCTCCAAGGTATATACACAGAGCTAGCTATGTATAATAATGTGCATGAAGATCACGTGGATTGTAAATACACATGTGCTGGATGTTCTTCTCAATGTGAGTTGGCAATAATGATATTCATGACTGATTGCAGCCGTGAACATTACATGTCATTGTATGACAGATCTTTCAATGTGTGGATGTATGATGAAATGGCATGGAACACACAATAAAATGTTGCTGAAGAATGATAAATAGCTGTAAACACAAAGGTTGCTGAGTAAACATAAATATACACACAATGCTGAGCTGTAAACACAAACACAAACAAAACGCTGCTGATGAAATAACAGTAAACATAAACGTTTGGTTTGATCGGTTTCAGTCTTGGACCGAGTCTGTGTCTGTTCCATTTAAGTGAAAGCCGTCATTTCGATTTTTCTTTAGGTCTGCGTCATCTTTTATCTTCCCATGGACTCTGTTGTTAGTGGTCAAGTTACCCTCACTCAGTGTTCTATTTACGTGAAAATTTCGATTTTTCTCGTCGTTGCTACTGGCAACACCGGTACTGTTTGTCGGTGAGAGTACAAAGGTTGAATTAACGACAGACAGGGCAATGAAAAACTGCGCAGCGTAGTAGGAGACCATTATGACATGTTGTTCTGCGGGAACTGGGAAGCAGAATTTGTTGACGGCTAAAACGTAGTCGGAAAAGACGAACAGCGTGGCTCCAATGGCAGCGTATATCTTCCTCCACGGAATCTCGCCTTTCAGGTTGAATCTGGTGACAAGGAATAATAATTATGGTGGTATCAGAGTTAAATGAAAATTAGTTATTTCAGGGTTAAATCCTGTGTTCTGTGAGAAAATCTTTGGTTAAACCCTTCCTTTACTCCTCTCTAAGGACACCCCAGAAATAAGGACACCTCTCTAACAAGGACACTTTCTTCTGTCCCATTGGTGTCTGTATTAGAGAGAGGTTTCCAAAGACAGATGCCATACAGAGGTTTTGCATACCAAAGCCGATTTTATCAATTGAACAGTAAGATTATATGACGGAAAGAATTCTTATAAGCCCAATATAGTAGTAAGATAGTGTGATGGGCTCAGGGGTATATATCAGTGTACTGACAATCTGTCCCCATTCTCTGTATGTACATAATACACCAATTTCAGATGCTATCATCATCATATACCCACATGTACAGCTCAAGTATATAAAGATGACATCATCATATACCCACATGTACAGCTCAAGTATATAAAGATGACATCATCATATACCCACATGTACAGCTCAAGTATATAAAGATGACATCATCATAATACCCACATGTACAGCTCAAGTATATAAAGATGACATCATCATATACCCACATGTACAGCTCAAGTATATAAAGATGACATCATCATATACCCACATGTACAGCTCAAGTATATAAAGATGACATCATCATAATACCCACATGTACAGCTCAAGTATATAAAGATGACATCATCATAATACCCACATGTACAGCTCAAATATATAAAGATGACATCATCATAATACCCACATGTACAGCTCAAGTAGAGAGGTTTGAACGGCAAAACGCAAGTGAAAAAGCAGACCCATGAATTTCCAAAAGTTTATACTTTTTTTGCCACGAGCAACAACAGGGTCTGGCAGCTCCCGCCATAATAATGAGATGTTTGCATTCTCAAACACAGCGTCAATTCAGACGCCATGTTTTAGTGTAGGAGTATAAATTATATATATATATATATATATATAGGGCTTATAGTGAAGTGTATACATGTAGCTTTGTGTGTGGCAGTGCTGAATACACTAGTCTATTCAGAATGTTGAATACAGTGGACCATCTGAAAAAAGACCCCCCGAATAAGGGACACTTCTCTATCAGTTTCGCAGCAAACACAAACAACGGGGGTAAATTGATTAAAGGACGGACTAGCTCATTACGTAATCTCATTTCTATAACTATTACATAATCAGACTTAGTCAGGGTCAGAGTTCAGTCAGGGTCGAGAAAGAGATCTTGATGTAAAGAACTGTTCTCGGGGAAAGAAAAGGTGTCCTTATTAGAGATGTGTCCTCATTTCAGGGGTGTCCTTAGAGAGGAGTTCCACTGTATACACTATTGTGACAACAATGGTATAGAAGAAAGTGTCCATAATATTAGAGAGGTGTCCTCATTTCAGGGGTGTCCTTAGAGAGGAGTTCCACTGTATACACTATTGTGACAACAATGGTATAGAAGAAAGTGTCCATAATATTAGAGAGGTGTCCTCATTTCAGGGTGTCTTTAGAGAATAATACCCACAAAAGAAGTTACCTGGCCAGAGCTCTCCACTGCATCACTAGGATCAGGATGCCGTAACCAAGAGCTAGGTACCGCATCACTCCAGTCACACACGATGCCAGGACTGCAGTTTGTAAAGTTTTGTAGATAGTGATTGATTATAGTTCTATTCCTAGATCACATCAACACATTCCCCATTATGAAAATACCCTCAGAACAATATGTCTTTCTGTATATAGCATTCACTACAATAATATGTATATACAGCATTAACTGGCTGAAAACCTTTCCTCTCCACATCTTTTCTACAAAGACGTTTACACGTTTTAAACAAAAGACGCGAGTTCATTCAAAGGCTATTAACACCTTTTTAACTTTATAGAGGTGTGTCCTTTATAAGTAGGGGTGTCCCTTATAGAGGTGTGTCCCTTATAGAGGTGTGTCCTTTATAAGTAGGGGTGTCCCTTATAGAGGTGTGTCCTTTGTAAGTAGGGGTGTCCTTTATAGTAGGGGTGTCCTTTATAAGTAGGGGTGTCCCTTATAGAGGTGTGTCCCTTATAGAGGTGTGTCCTTTATAAGTAGGGGTGTCCTTTATAGTAGGGGTGTCCTTTATAGAGGTGTGTCCCTTATAGAGGTGTGTCCTTTATAGAGGTGTGTCCTTTATAAGTAGGGGTGTCCTTTACAGTAGGGGTGTCCTTTATAGAGGTGTGTCCCTTATAGAGGTGTGTCCCTTATAAGTAGGGGTGTCCTTTATAGAGGTGTGTCCTTTGTAAGAGGTTCCACTGTATTATTCCCGGTGTGTATATAATTATGTACGTGGCATAGCAACACGAAATGGAATATGTCACAAATACACCACATGATGGGTTTCTGACACCAAACTCCTAGCGATATTCATAGCCCACAACCCCACACGGGACAATCTAATGATATTCATAGCCCACAAACCCCCACACCATAGTCATATTAATTATTGTGGGAGACTCGGCCAAAATTCCCTTTACCTGCTAGGCCGGGAATTCCGACTGAAAACGTAAACAAAAACTCCTTCAATCCAAATGGTCTCCATCCAAACGCGAGAGTATAGACGAAATGTCCGACTGAAAACGAGGCCAGTCCGAGAAGAAAGTATACTTCGTTGGCTTCACTCCAGACGAGGAACAGGTCTCCCGCGCAGCACCAGCACAGGGCAGCCACGATACGACGATTGTAGCGATGGATGTGAGGGTCCGAGACACCGAGGAGACAGACGAACCAGATGAGGGAGAGGAGGGGGAGGCACTTGACGACTGCTGCCGGGAAGGAGCCCTTGTCCAGCAGGAGGATAAAGTGTATACACGTCATCTTTAGGAAGGGCACCAGGAACGGCATGGTGGAACGTATCTCTTTCGACAGCTGCGTAAAAAAGTTTGTTTTTATAGATCGTGCGTGAGTGTATGTTATGATACGCACGGTGGAGGATAGGGAACTCGTACTGACATCTAGCAAGCTAGCAATGAATTTTGTAGTAAAGTTTCGTCATACAACACACTTAGACGTGTAGTCTGAACATCTAGCTATCCTTGACTACAGAATAATCTAACATTACCTGGCCGACGTTCATTCGTTTCAGCACGGCAAAAACCGTTTCCCTGAGTGGCGAAAGGGCCATTTCCCCGTCTCTGTAGCTCGCAACAATGCAAAACAGTCTTTTCTCGTCGACTTCTTGTTGTCGCTCTGCCGACGAGTATTTGGCCGGCCAGATTTTATTGCGCGCGCCGCCGGATGCAATTAATCAACCCAATCACACCGCGCATGCGTATACTTCGCTAGCTCGGTCACGGCGCGGCGCTACGGTTCGCGCGCGACAGAACGCACACCTGTAGGGCGTCCCTCCTTTCAGGTAGGGCGAGAAATTCGTGCCGCGCAACTTAAAATTCTGAGCTAACCGCGCCAGTCACTAAACCCAGTGGAATGGTTAGCAAAATGCCTTGGTTACCACTGTTTTTGAAATGTCGCGCTCCCTGCCATATAGCTACACCGTACACTGACCCTTCACACTAGGCTAGCCGTAGTGGAAAAGTGCTAAACCTCGGTACTTCGATTGTTCTGTGCTTTGAGCCGAGACATCCACAGGTATGTATGTCCGAGTCTCGGGCAAACCACTTACTTATATTTTCAACGCACAGGTGCAGTTTTCGAAAGGAAAACGGTGGGAAAAACTGCGAAGAATGAGGTTGATATCTCTGATACTCATTGGCGCTCTTGCCGCGCTTGAGAAAGGACGAGCAGACCAGACCCCGCAGATTTGTCCCGGCTGTCATGGCGGCGGTTACACTCCTCCGGTCCCTCTCTGGCTGTTCCCTCTGCTGCAAGGTCAGAAACCTCTGGACGGACGTGACGGGGAGATGGGGAAACAGGGCTGGCAGGGGATGCAAGGCAACACCGGAGCAGTCGGTGACACGGGGGACGAGAAGGGTGACACGGGATATCGCGGGGATATGGGTGATACAGGAGAAAAGGTAAAGTCCGTCGCATTGCATGCGCATGACAATCTGTAACTTTTGCGCGCATTGCATTTGGTCGACCCGTCCTTTTTGATGTTTGTATGAATCACAGATTAGTTGTGCATGTAGCTATATAGCTATGTGCAATCCTGACTTTACATTCGCACTCGTTTGTAGCTAACTGCAGCTTGCGTGGTTCGGAAAGGTTGCGGGTGTTTTATCTGTGCCTTTTCTGCAGGGATATAAGGGAGAAATGGGAATTAAAGGCTACAAAGGCTGCCTAGGAGAAAAGGGGTTTGCAGGGACGGACGACATCAGCGCGGGGACAGTTTACATTCGCTGGGGTCGCGAAGACTGCCCCTGGGGCCATACCCTACTCGGCGGACCGGGGCGCGCCGCGGCCCCCTTCCACGGTGAAACCGGCGGCGGGACAAACTATCTCTGCCTCCCGAACACTCCGGCATTCCAGGCTGCAGTCACTGCGGGGACTTCTCCGCAGAATCAAATAGTCGGCGTCGATTTTGCAACGGCCGGTGAACCCCTTGCCTCCGTCGATGGCACCGCTTTGGCCTGCGCCAACTGTTTCGCCAGTCAATCGCCGAAACTGATGATCCCTGGCACGGTAAATTGTCCGTCCAGCAGTTGGGTTATGGCATACAGGGGTTACCTCATGTCCGCAAAGGATCAATCGTCAGCGGGGTTGACTTCAGCCCGACAATTATTTTTCGCCGATACGGAACACTACCGCACCGAATACATTTGCGTCGACGAGGCTCCTACGGATACGTCGGCCACCGTAACCACGGACGACGAGAGTTTGATCTATCACGTCCACTTCGACTGCGCTAACGGAGCGTCGCTCGGCTGCAGTCCGTCCGGACAAATCGCGTGTGTCGTCTGTCTGTACGCCGGAGCTTCTTAGCTACATATCTAAAACACTCTTGTTCATATTGACTCTCGATCTTTAGCTGTACAATAAAACTCTTAAATAATACAGTTGTCCATCATCAAATTTTTTTCTATTATGCGTAGGAAGAAAAAAGACCCACTACACGCTACATACCTTACTTTATCAGCTAAACTCCCGCAGTCTCCGCTGCCCTTCTCATCATAACACCAGCCCCTCCTCCGAAATCACCCACCCCTCACTTATTCCCACCCTTCTCACCCCGACCAACACACCACACTCCTCTACCCCAATGCCACCTTCAAGTACACCTAAAATTACTAGCTTTCAATCTCAATAAGACACCCGGCTTCCCCCCCTTCAACCTGAACACCGACCCCGATCTCAACACCCACAAGCTCAGCTTTTCGCTCTCTACCCAACTCCATACACCTCTCTTTTCTTTCCATACCAACACCCACCCCATGGAACTAAACCCCCCTAGTTATACACTCTCACCCAACTATCAACAGTCATCCACACGCTTTGCGACCCCTCTACACTCCCTTCCGCCCACCATCATCCTATGTCCCAAGTCACAACCCTCTCGCACCCCAAAGCTCCTACTTTCCTATTGTCTTCTCCCCCCTCAACTCGCTTATAATACTCCCCTTTCTCTCTGAGAATCCAATATCCTCCAAGAGGACCCTTACGCTCCGATCCTTTCCCCCATACACAACACCCCCTAACATTACTACCCCTATAACCAACAAGTCACATACCCCCCCCCTCTTCTCCGTATTGGCATATCCGTTTTCTCCCCACGGCAACCGACAACCCACCGCACATCTGTCCATTCTCAACCATCCCAGTACACTCTTCTTCTCCATGAAACCGCTCTCCCGCAACCCTCTCGCTCCTACGCAACTCAACTCCACCCCACCACCCCAACGTACTATCATCATCAGCAAAACCCAACCATATACTACATTACCTATATATCTTTTTCAACCACCCGAATCCCCAATAAAACGTTATTTCCTGTGACCCTCTTGCGTCACAGGCCGGCTCCGCTTTCAAGCCCCCCTTCCTGAGCCCTCCACATCAATAGCCTGTTCGCGAAACCAAACCCCCTCAGCGCTATTACGTACACCCCCTTATATAGGTACCACCCCAAGTTGTTTGTCCATACCCACCAATAATTTACCATGCTATCTTATTATTCTCATCTGGAGAATGTCCCCCTACCGTACAACTTACTTCCTACCTATGCACTCATTCGCAATAATCTTCCACAACATTTTATGTTAGCTGAATTCGCCGCCTGCGATACAATAGTATTCTGACGTTTCGTGATCTGCACATGCGCAGGATGATTTGTGTGTGTGTACGTGTACGTGTGTGCGTCGGTCAACATTCGGAAACGATGGGGTTCGGGCTAGGTGGTTGTAATGTAGCGTTGATTCTGATTCTGATTCTGTTCGCCTCGAAAGCTGTTCTTTGCGGCACCGCGGATCCCGGAGACACGCTCTCCGCTACCTCTGGTGAGACGAGAGAGCCGAAATGTGTGTTGAGAGAGATAGAGTGTGTGTGTGTGTGTGTGTGTGTGGTGTGTGTGTGTACGAGACTGAGTGAGTGAGTTATGAGATTTAAAACTGTCGTTTTTGTTTGTCAGCATAATTGCGAGGCAAAGCAGTGGATTGTGTATACATAATTATGGAGAGCATCGTAGCATTATCCATAGATCACGATGTGCCCTCTCCCCTCCTCCCCTCCTCCCTGCTTCAGATGTCACCAAACTTGCAGTACCGCAAACTCTTCGGACAAACTTTGACCTCTATCGCGACTATTACGTCACCGTCGACACGGCAACGGTGTCCGGGAATCAATACTCTTCATTTTCAATCCAAGTTCACACCCAACTCTATACGGCAGTTCTGACAAACTTTTCCAGTGAGTGTCAGACCACGGGAGATTACGAGTGTACCACGACTGGTTCCAACGTGGGACTGGTCCAGGTATGGAACGTGGACACGACAGACTTTCTATTCCGTGTCAGAGTGGAATGCGGACCGTGGAACTGTTCGAGCAATTCCACCGTTAGAGTCCTGTTGGCAACAGTTGGAATACCCACAGAAGGTACATACATAGTTTCATTCCCATGATGTAATTATACTGCAACAGTTTTAGTTGGACTTAATACAAAATAACAGTACCAATACTAAAACTGTTCATTGGGAACCATTTGGCACACTGGAGCTAGTGTGGCTAATGCGAGCCTCGGAAATGCACCCACCCACTAATGGAGGACACTCATTGATCAACTTATGTGCATTTGTATCTCTTAATGAACTCACCCTCAATTGCAGTTCCAAAGTGTTTCTGAAAATGTAGATACATACATGTGTTCATTCCAGCATTTCTTTCTTGTTGACGCAAGTGTGTATGGTTCTCATTTCACAGCTCCCATTCCTGGCGGTTGCGCTTTGACCTCTAACCTCTTCATTGACCCCAATATCGTCGTGGACTACACGACGATCTCGACGGAGGTCCGGTTCCTGGACAGCGACGTGGGATTCAGACCGTCCGACACATCTTATCCCACCTGCGATGCCGTGAGCTGTACATTATGTATCACAAAATAGTCTGTAGTGTGTTTGTAGTGTGTTCAACGTACCTTTAGCTTTCAATTTCCCTTTCTCGACAGAACCCCTCTCAAACGACACCCCTGAAAGGACACCTCTCAAACGACACCCCTGAAATGAGGACACCTCTCTAATAAGGACACCTTTTCTTTCCCCAAGAACAGTTCTTGCATCAGTAACCCCTGAAATAAGGATACCTCACTAATATGGACACTTTCTTCTGTCCCATATTAGTGTCCTGATTAGAGATGTGTATACATGTAGCTTCCTCCATTTTTAACCCTTATTCTCTCTCCCTCTCCTCCTCTCTCTCCCTACGTCCGCAGTCTACTGACCCCTCCTCCCTCTCCTCGCCCTACCCACTCCAATACCTCGAGTACACGGTCTACCAGAAGTGTCTCGGTCGAGGCCAGTTCAGTGTGACGGCCATGATGGACGCCATTGAAGACATGCTCACTGCTAGCCTCACTCTTAAACAGGTTAGGAGAAAGAGAGAGAGTGAGAGGGGGGAGGATTTTAGACCAACTTTTAGAGAAAGTTAGACGACTAAAGTGTGTAATTTTTACCTTTCTCAAGAGACACCCCTGAAATGAGGACACCTCTCTAATAAGGACACCCCTGAAATGAGGACACCTCTCTAATAAGGACACCTTTTCTTTCCCCAAGAACAGTTCTTGCATGCAATTCAACCCCTGAAATAAGGACACCTCTCTAATAAGTAGAGACCCTAGAACACTGCCATTTGAAGGAGGGAAGAGAATGCTGTTCTCTCCACCACTGCAGGAGAGCAGTTACACAACGCTCCAATACAACCAGGCAAAGAGAGTGACGTTTGCCTCGACCCCTGGACAAGGGGTCATCTACAACGTCATAGCAACGGACAAGGTGACCGACCAGGGCTCAATTTAGGAATGTTGTTACTAAAGATAGAACAGAGCAGTAGGGGCACAGAATTGAGTTCCAAATTTAGCTCTATACTGCCAAATTACCTTCAAATGACCAAATAAGGTCTATTTGTGAACTGAGCACAGCCTGTTGACTTGTCCTCCCTCCACTCTTCCTCCAGAGAAGTAACCGGAGAGTGGCATACGTCCCAGCTATCACCTATGGCTGCGACATTCACTCCGCGAGTGGCTGCAGAGACGAGATATCGCCATTCAGCGGCGTGGTCGGAATCGTCCTCATATTGTCCGGTCTCTTTCTGTGCCTAGTTGGACACCTCTTCTTTCACGGAGGTTAATTTGTCTGTGTGTGTGTGTGTGTGATACTAATAATTTTGAGTTTAGAGGTTTTTTTTGTGTAATACGAGCCTCCACTTTTACTAGTATTATTGTGCAGAAGAAGTATAATAATAATTATTGTGAGTTGGAAAATTTTGTGCAGATACGTATGTGTCTCGCATTACTATTCACAAGACAACACTTTTGAAAGGGGGAAAGTATGGGAAAATTTTATAGTTTATAAAACGTTTCTGTTTTGCTCAGAGGTTGTCGCCCTTCACTGGATCAGCGGCTGCTTCTTCTTCTACCTCATCATCTCCATAGCAGCGACCTCTTTCGACCACAACCGTAAGACCCTATAACCTCTGAACTCTGACCTATTGACTGAGCCCTCCCTCTAGTTCTGTTGGGTCTGTCTCTGGTGTGTGGGAGTGTGTATTGCCTGGTCTGGTTCCTGTTCTGGTTCCTGACCGGCTGGCACTGGGTATGGAATCGGGACGCTCTAACTTCAGTCAATGTATTGTCTGCTGGATTATGCAGGTCCACGTGGTGGTTTTTGGCTTGTATGCGGATTTCATCATCATTTCTTCCATCCTTTACTCTCCTCTAGGTGAGGATAATTATATACAGCCTTTAGAACTATGGAACCTCTGAACAAGGGACACTATGAGACCAGATGGTGTCCCTCGTAGAGAGGTCGTCCCTATCTCGGAGGTCAAATAATACACTAAAGTATTAGCATGGGGTTGAAACAAGTGTCCTTTGTAGAGAGGTCATCCCTATCTCAGAGGGTCCCTTATCGGAGGTTCCACTGTGATAATATTGTCAGTGAAGTTTCACGTCGTAAAGCTCCATTTCCTCTCCCCCTCCCTCCCCCCTTCTCCCCATTCTCCCCTCCCTCCCCCCTTCTCCCCCTCACAGAAGACACATCTGTGTTCACCGTCCTACAGATAAGCTACGTCTACTGCCTCACACTGCTCTGTGGAATGGTTCTCTTCATGGTGCCCGTTGTCGCCTTCCCCAGAGCCGTGAGTGCACTTCTTTATGTTGAAGATGGACTGAGCATGCTCATAACCTCAACGAGATGCGGGATTCAAAACACTATATATAGCTCCTCTTCTACCGCACCCACTGTATTAGCCAACATGTTTACTACTGTTCTATATACCGCATGACTGGTTTATTGTATGTTTGGTCGAATTTTCGTTTCAAGCAATCAGAAAAGGTATTCATTTTGCTCACACACACACACACACACACACACACACACACACTCGGGTACACAACATAATATTCACACGGTTTGTTGAGACGCGAGAAGGAACAGTTTTCCCTCAACAAAACAATCACTTTTTAGTGTACAAGCTGGATGATAATATTATGTGCATGTTTTTATATTTTACCATTCTTTCCTCCTCGTTTTCTGTCTGCAGCTAAGTATATGGGCTTCATCTCTTGTTGGGAGCTATGCCGTCATTTCTGGTATATACATTCCTCTTTTACCATAATCACATTCCTCCAAATAAGGGATACCTCTGAATAAAGGACTCTTTCCATGTCCCCAAAATGTCCCTTATTCAGAGGTTCCACTGTATTGTTGCAGAGCCCTTTTCTAGGTATCTACGTTTCCACATTCTCATTCCCACGTTTCCATGTTCTCATTCCCCGTTCCCATTCCCCCGTTCCACTGCCGCAGGTATAGGGATGTTTGTGTACACTGAGCTGGCCCAGATTGTTTTGCTGGTCGTGAGGAGATTATCCATTTCCGGGTTTTATTCTGCTCACGTCGACTGCCCTTTACTTACCACTGGTGAGAGCCTTAACACTATTATACACCCGATGATGTAATAATGATGTAATGATGACAATGATGTAATGCTAATGTAATGATGACATTGGTGTAATACTAAGCGACAAATTGATGGCTGGAAAACATTGTATGAAGTGAAATTCTCAATAATTAGAACACCTTGAGGATCCTGAAATTGTCCTTTATTCAAATAGTTAGCAAAGTACAATGTACTCCTGTATTAGTATGTGGAACCATCAAGTACAGATGGTCATTTTCTCTTGCGCAATATAAGAATCTCTCCCTCTCTCTCTCTCTAATACCAGACTACATACTAATGGCTCTGTGGATCGTCTTGCTGGTGGTGGGAGTGACCATTCAGACCACAGTGGTCCAGATTCGTCGGACCAAACACAACCGTCGGCAACAAAAAGCTACCAACGACAGACAAAGCAGAAAGAAGTTGAAGTTGAAGTTCAGTTCGTTTCCACGACCCTCGTTGCTGAGGAAACTCCTTCGTTATAGCAACAGAAATTGCTCTGCCGAGGGAGAGCCGTTGCTAACCCCTAGTCATCTGTCTCATCACGGGCCTTGGTCGTCTCATAGCAACGGAGTCTCGTCGCCTAGTGACAGCGGACGGTATCCTAGCAACTACGGTGCCATGGGAGCAACGACTGTCAATGATCCAGCTGTTTTGATTGTCAAAAAATGAAGAAATCGTAATGTCCATACAAATTTTTAATTCTGTGTGAAGGAAATCATGTCAATTTTTGTCCAACGATCATCGCGCGCGTATTATGCGAACCCGGCACAATTCCGTAATCCTCAGTATACTCGTAGTGGATTACGCACGGTGGGAATCCCATTCCACACGCTCGGAAATTATCACGCGACCTCCGTACACAGGACGCATACTCCCGTAAACCCATTAATTTCTCCACAGAGCCGTACGGTTCGCGGGCGAAGAACGGGAGATCGAGAAGACGAGGCATGGAACCTGAGCCCGCCACTACACCGGGACAGGAGATAGAAACTGGGTTCGTACGTACGTACGTAGCGTCGCGCGCGAAAGAGAAGCTCCGGCCCACCGTTCCACCGCGGCGAGTGGAAAAGGCGGGCGGCGGGCAAAAATGGGTGTTGTTTATGGTTTTTCGTTTCGTTCCGTCCCGCAGCACGAGCGAGCCGGTTGCCACGCACAAGTGTGACTGGATCTCTCTCATACATGGTAGCTGACCCATTTCTCTTTGAAAAAAAGCAAATACGCCTTTCTCCTATAACCTCTCTTCTTCCTCCATCTCTTTCTTCTTTGCTGCACTTTCTTCCTTTCTCTGCCTACCCACTCTCCCCCCCTCCCCCTCTCACAAAAAGGTGTGAGGTTCACCGCCAACGGTCGCTATGTCTGTGGCTACGTGGAATCGGGACAGGAACTCATGGAGGTCCTGGAGACATACCGCACCGTATCGGGAACTGGATTCATCAACGCACAGGTTCATATTCCAGTCCAGCCAAATTCTCTCACGCCACGACGCCACCTTCAATATAATATGGGTGTCAATTTGTCTACGCAACAAGGTTTTGTAGAAAGAAAAGTGGCGAATAAACTTTGTTTTGTTGAATCACGCAACATGTACACATCGCCTTGAACTGCTGTGTAAACCCTTAACCCCTTCCTCACTGTGTGCACAACGTCATTAACCCTTTCCTCACTGTGTGCACGACTTCAACCCTTTCCCCACTGTGTGCACGACTTAATTAACCCTTTCCCCACAGACGCTGAGTGCAGCGATGAAGCCATTCGACGACACGGTGTGGCAGACGAGGTTCATGACTCCTGCTGCAAGGCCGCGCCTCTTTTGGCAGATGAGCGCGGGAGAACCCCACATTCCTTACGATGGTGTTCCGTTCATGTCCGTTGGTCAGAACACGGAGCTGCCCTGTGTTAGATATGGCGGACGGAGGAAGAAGGTTTGTTCTGCTCTCTTCTCTCTCTCCTCTCTCTCTCTCTCTCTACACATACACACACGCACACACTCCACCCTCTCACTTCTGATGTATTCAATAAATAGGTGGAGACTGTTGCCCTGGCAACTGGCGATCTGATAAACATGGACTTCCGCCAGAAGACAGGCTGTGAGGGAAAGATTACCGTTCGTCGAGTCATGCGGTTTCCGTCTGCCCAAGTCACCGATCTCAGCCAGCAAGGTGAACAGATGCTCATTAGAACTTGCACGAACTTATCTTTTAATTAAGTTTGATGTGTGACTTGTTGGCAATGTCAAGTGATTGTCATGTGACTTGTTAATGATGTCACGTGATTGTCATGTGACCTACAGGAGTGGCTGCAGTTCGCCGAATGAGAAAACAGTTACTCGAGGATTTGACGCAGAAGATCATTGCCGGTATTGCGAAAGCCCATCGAACGGTACTATTTCCTCCTCCCGACGCCGTTAGCACATTCCAATCACGTCGTCCCGGAGATGGAGCCAGCCCCGATGATCGCACAGCCCGTTGCCGAGGAGATAATGAACCAATTAAGCCACGGAATCACAGAGATCTCCCTCATTAAAGACCACATCAAGAACTTTGCGGACGCATCGCTCGGTAACGAGGCTGGACTGCACGTCGAGAATTCAGCCTACTATCCTTCAGAAGTTGGAGTTTACCACCATGTCTACTGGCTCTACAAGATGGGGCAGGTCTGACAAATTGTAGATTTTTTTTTTATTTCTCGGTTTTTTTCAGTTTCGAGTTTCACATTTTTTTGTCTACTGGCTCTATATACAAGATGGGGCAGGTCTGACAAAATTGTAGACATTTTAGATTTTTTTTATTTCTCGGTTTTTTCTGTTTCGAGTTTCACATTTTATTGTTTTCTCGTGTTTTTCAAAGACATGTGTGTTGATAAACATCTTTCAATTCCAGGTCATAGATCAGGAGAGTGCATTCAAGGCTAAGCTGGGTCTGAGCGATGACTTCGCTGCCAGCGCCCTCTCCTTGACAACATCCATCCCTCCCAAGATACCCGTTACCACGGACACCATCACCAGGTTGATGATACTGTATACAGTTCGTGAATTATTGCGTAAAAGCAATTTTTTGCACGACCTCTCTCTCTCTCTCTCTCAGTGTGTACAGTATCATAATGGATCAGGCCACCGGAACAGCTGCAACCTCTCTTGACCTCGGGCGACAGCGAATCTCCCCTCCAGGCCACCGAGAACGAGGTAATTATGACATCATTGACCACACCTACTAGGACATCATTTCACTCTCTTTCTTCTCACAGGTGGAGTTAAAAACATCCATTGACCAAGGAGGTGGAGGACTCTGTCTCTCTACTGATAACTCCACTACTTCTGTTGGTTTTTTCCCTCATTTCACTCCAAACTTTCTTCTTTCCCTCTATCTCACTCCAAACTGTCGTCTTTCCCCCATCTCGCTCCAAACGGTCGTCTTTCCCCCTATCTCGCTCCAAACTGTCGTCTTTCCCCCTATCTCGCTCCAAACTGTCATCTCTCCCTCTCTCATCCCAAACTTCTCTTTTTCTCAGGCCACACCCATTTCGGTTCCTCCCATTTCCATTATGTCGGCAGCTGCCAAGAGGGGAATCCCCCCGAAATCGATGACATCATCGTTCAACATGCAGTCCCTCTCGTCTCTATCCGGTATCTCTACTCCGATAATTACACATCACGAGGTGAGCCGATGAGAGAGATTTGTGTAAATCATGAGATTAAGTGCACTGCATTATGTGTATATATATAATTATACGCAAGTGCAAATGCTTTATATAGAATTGAGAATCAGAAAATGTGTTCATATCTTAATTTGAACTATAATTATATCTAGTTGTGCAAGGGGATGCACTAAAATAACCATGTTCTGTGCAAGATGGTTAACAACACGTGAATGCCCAAAATCAAGTTTTAATCTGCCACTTTCTCTCTGTCTCACATCTTTCCTTCTCTCGTCCCTTTTTCCTTCGTCCCTTCTCTCTTTCCCCCCAGCCACAGTCTCTGGCGGTCGTTGAAGCCACACCCACCACTCCCACGGCATTGTCTCAGGCCCAGACAGAAGTCCACGACATTCTCAGAATAATGAGAATCAGACACACGCCTGCAGGACCCTCCCCGCTCTGAACACTCTTCGGAGACAGGCAAGTTCAGGACGTCCTGATTTGTGTGTTTAGGACGTCCTAAACCAATGGGACAGAAGAAAGTGTCCATATTAGCGAGGTGTCCTTATTTAAGGGGTTAAAATTGCATGCAAGAACTGTTCTTGGGGAAAGAAAAGGTGTCCTTATTAGAGAGATGTCCTCATTTCAGGGATGTCCTTAGAAAAGGGGTTCCAATGTTATCCTTATTTCTCTCTCAACAGTTGACTGAACTCTGCAGTCAGTTCTCGATGCACCTCTCAGGAGTACCGACCAAGAGCTTTGGGGGTGTGGCCAACCACTCCCCCAGCAGTCTAAGCCTCGCCCCCCTGACAAAACGACCAAAGCTAAACTGAACTTCTCTAATACACAGCTAGTCCTCGTGTTATTTTTCACCACTTATCCATTACATCATCGTCATTTCCATCCTTACACACAGACATCCTCATTACCTCACTATTACATCATCTATATAACTTTATTATGACATCACAAACATTACTCCGCAAGTATATACCAGCAATTGCAGGCATGACATGCACCAGCAACATTAATTATACACTCTTTGATAATTAGAAAACAGGATTAGCCTGTTTAACCGGTTTTGTAGGGAGGGTGGGCTACAATTGGGGTGGCTGGCCTCTTCCAAATCCTCCTCTCTGAAGAGAAAGAGAGAGAGAGAGCTTCATCTCAATGTTTCAGCAATACACTATATACCCTTTGCCTACGATAAGGAATTTTGTTTTCTGCAATGCTAAACGCCCCAACAGAATGAAACTACCAGAATCTGATCCTAAAACCCGACTTTGTAAACCGCATGTGAAAAAGCAACTCACAAATGCGGGGTTAAAGTCCGACCCAGCCCCGGTCGCTGCCTTCTTATCAGCACCACCATCTACATGAGCACACACACGGAGACAGAAAAACACCGAGAGAGAAGAGATAAAAATTTCCCTAGTATTTCTTATTTTCTCCTCACAGCTAGACGGCCCAGCGGTCCTGTAGCCTTCTCTCTCCTCCCTCTCCTCTCTCATACCGCGATCTCCATCACCGAATCCTGTCAGACGAGTGAAATATAACACGAGGACTAGCTGTGTATTAGGGAGAAGTTCAGTTTAGCTTTGGTCGTTTTGTCAGGGGTGCGTGGCTTAGACTGCTGGGGGTGTGGTTGGCCACACCCCCAAAGCTCTTGGTCAGTGTGCACGTGAAATATAAGCACATCACATTGTTTACGAGTGAACACAAGTGCAAATTCTCAGCAGCAAAAACCAAAAAACAGTTGGAGATACCTTTGGGTCTTGGTCGAGCAGTCTCAGTACGGACGGGCCTCTTGAGAGTGCTGGTACAATCTCTTGAGGGAGGTGGAGGTACTCACGGAGATATTGGATACCTGGGGGGAGAGAGAGAGAGAGAGAGAGAGGGGAGGTGAAAGAAAGAAGGGGGGGAGACTCATAGGGTATACTGTGGAATCCTCTAATCAGGACACCAATGGGAGAGAAGGGGTTAAATTGCACGCAAGAACTGTTCTTGGGGAAAGAAAGTGTCCTTATTAGAGAGGTGTCTTCATTTCAGGGGTGTCCTTAAAAAGGTTCCCACTTACCGTCATTTGTCAGGTACCAGAAGAAGTACTGCCAACTGAAACGCTCCGTCACGTAGCCGCGCGACTTCAGCGACTGCAACACGTAAACTCCAAATAATGCCCACTCGTCTAAAACGATCATCAATTTACCTGCATGGCCTTAATGACTTGTAGGTTAGGGACCGTCTCGATCTCAGAGTGTTTGGCGGCGAAATAGTCCTTCTTGGCCACGAGGACGCCCTCTTTGAAGAGGTGTTCGTAAATGGCCTTCCGATTCTTCTTGGGAATCAGCATTTCTAGTCGGGAGAACGGGGAGATGAAAATTAGGTCCTTCTCGTGACGATGAAACGGGGGTCGTTGCGACTAGCTACGGCTTAGCAGATCTCGAACTGGAGTGGATCTTTATTTACCTCTTCCCACTTCCACGTGTTTCTAGTGCGCACGCGCAGTGCTTGTATCGCTGATTAATAAAGTGCAGAGGTCACGGATTCTTCGCTGGTGGGTGTTTGGCGGGAAACACCATAAACGGAGTCGACTTTTCTGCAAGAGGTATGCACACAGAGTGTGTTTTACGCAGTAAAGTGAAGCTCTGTATTATGTACGCAGTAGAGTAAAGGTTGTTGATACAGCTGTGTATGTTTGTTGTGATATTCGCTTGCTCTGTTTACCTTTCGATATAGAGCAACAAATCAACGGATGTGTAACCATGGCAACTTTGGGGCCCCGCCCACTCTCCAACGGTTTGGAGCCACACCCCAAGCGGCAGCGCACCTCTCCCTCCCCTCCTCCGCTTCCCTCCTCACAAGATGGGAGGGACTTCCTCAATGATTGCCTCGCCGATGACGACGAGGAAACAATTGGCATGGAAACGACCTCTCACCCTGTTGTCGCTACGAAAACACCCTCCCCCGAGGACCCTTCTACCTCTTCCCAACCTGCGAGAGAATGCTGGAAGCGCCCCCCTCCCCCAAAATTGGACCCCTCCTCGGACCCCCTAGTTTTCCAGCAAATCGACATCGACTACTACGTGGGGGCAAGTACGGTTCCGGGGATGCCTGGAATGGGAACGGGACCGGTACCGGTACTGAGGATGTTTGGAGTGACTAGCGATGGAAACAGCGTCTGTTCTCACATCCACGGTTTCCTTCCATATTTCTTCGTCCCTGCACCGAGGGAGTTCTCAACTCAGCATTGCGCAACATTTCGAAGGGCTCTGAACACCGCGGTAATGGACGATCTTCGGTCTAGCCGCGACAACATACGGGAGGCCGTGCCCGCCGTGGAGATGTGCAGGAAGAGCTCAATTTACGGGTTTTACTTCAACGAGATGAGCGACTTCCTGCGGGTCACGGTGTCGCTGCCCAAACTGGTTGCACCGGCTCGAAGACTTGTCAGCTGTATTTCTGTTCCACCTTTTGGACAAATTGATTACCAGGTAAATCTGTTGAACCTCTCTCTAAGGACACCCCTGAAATAAGGACACCTTTTCTTTCCCCAAGAACAGTTCTTGCATGCAATTCAACTCCTGAAATAAGGACACCTCACTAATAGGGACACTTTCGTCTGTGCCATTGGTGTCTGGATTAGAGGAGTTGCAAAATTCATTTAGCTGATCATTCTCCCTTTTTCGTAGGTGTTTGAAGCAAACATAGATTTTGAAGTAAGGTTTATGGTTGACACTGGAGTGGTGGGGTGTAGTTGGATAGAGCTCCCGGCCGGGAAATACCGGTTCCGGAACCAGTCTCAGACCTGTGGAACCGGCACCATCATCGGAGGGGACGGGGCCTCTGAGATGAAGCCACACCCACCGGTAACGAGGTGCCAGATTGAAGTCGACGTTTCGTACGAGGACTTCATCAGTCATCCCACCAGAGGGGGAGTGGCAGGTTAGACCTGAAAAACCGGTTTTATATGCATACAATTATTAACCATGCAAATGGAACTGCCGAAGTTTTTTTCACGATTTGTACAAGTTTTGTAGTCCGGATTAGATTTGTAGTCCTGATTAGATTTGGTGTCATGATTAGATTGGCGTCCTGATTAGATTTGGTGTCCTGATTAGATGGGATGAGAACTGGAATGGTGTAACCCACAAAGGACCATTTATATGTACCCCCTTGACATGAAATTACCAATGCGTTTTGAAAGGAGACAATCTTTTGCAAATCTCAGTATACCCTACCCATATTTCCCCACATTTTTAACTGTATTCAGTTCCACATGGTGTTCTCTCCCCAGGCAATAGCTCCTGTGAGGATCCTGAGTTTTGACATCGAGTGTGCAGCCAAGAAGAAAGGGGTGTTTCCCGAGGCACAGCGAGATCCTGTCATTCAGATTGCTAACGTCGCCGTGCTACAGGGCGAGACTGAGCCGTTTGTGAAGAATGTATTCACTCTTGACACGTGAGTTTTGGGGGAGAATGGGGGTTTAGTAATGGGGTATATATCTACTTTTAGCAAACAAAGGGGGAAGTTAATGCTAAGTAACTACTGTCAATAAATCAAGCTATAATGAAAAGCACTAAAGTGCAAACCCTCGGCTAGTAGCGTCTGACACGGGCTAGCTACAGTAGTAGATAGCATGTGAGAGTCGATACACGCCCTTCGTTGTGACTTCTTGTGCCTTCAAGATAGACAGAGCAAGCGGACCCGAGCCTGTTCAAAATATAAGTGCATGCGCCTTTTCCGCAGCGATAAAAATGGCCGACTAGCATTAGCCGTACAATGGCGGAAGCGCTCTAGCTTTGCAACGAAGCGAAAACCGTTCGAAATTTCTGACCTTCATTGCCCGTTAAGTAGGTCGTATCGTTTGTGAGACGAACAGACACTTGAGAGGTGAGATTGAGAGTAACGGACAGACAGACCCAACTACAGTACCCTCGCTGCGCATGCGCGCCGAGGGTAATTATAGGGTGGTCTAAATTGTTCATACTTTAGCAGGCCAACCAACCATCCTCAATACCTTGACTATAATAATAAAGCAATACAAATTATAAAGATGTGCAAAAAGTATCTTGAATATTCCTCAGATGTGCCCCCATAGCTGGAACGGATGTGCGTGTGTTTGCGCCTGAGACCAAACTGCGTATGTCTGAGGCCGAGCTGCGTAAGTATGAGGCCGAGCTGCGTAAGTGTGAGACCCAGCTGCTGAAGGAATGGGCTGAGTTTCTGCAGGAACTGGATCCCGACATCATTACCGGCTACAACATCGTGAACTTTGACCTCCCATACCTCCTGAACAGAGCAAAAGCTCTAAAAGTCAGTTCTTTACTTTAAAAAGGCAAGACGCTCCAATTGCTAGATTTGCGTTTGGCAATGTGGCAGTATAATTATAAATGCAACTTACTAAAAAAGGAAATTAATTGCATTCTTTCGCTGGGCCCTAGTGTTTTGTTCTATCTTTAGTAACATTTTCTAAATTTAGCCCTTATATATACTGTCACATTCCATGACACTTGAATGCTAAACTAAATTTCCATTCTGTGCAGGTGGACTTATTCCCATACCTGGGACGGGTCCGGGACAGCAGGACGACAATGAGAGATTCCACGTTTGATTCCAGGGCGTACGGGAAGAGAGTCAACAAGATTATCAGTATAGAGGGACGAATTCAGTTTGATCTGTTCCAGGTAGCAGGTTTTCAGGACAGTGTGTTAAGACGTCGTCTGTCCTGTTAGTTTAGGACAGCCTTCAAACATGTCCTGTTATTTCAGGACAGCCTTCAAACATGTCCTGTTATTTCTCTCTCTCCCTCTCCATGAAGATTCTACTGAGAGATACGAAGCTTCGGTCTTACACCCTAAACTCAGTCAGCTACCATTTTCTGGGGGAGCAGAAAGAAGACGTCCATCACTCCATTATTACCGACCTTCAGGTAAAATATTTTTAACGTCAGGTAAACATTTCAGGTAAAAAATTTAAACTAATTTGTGCATTTTTTACTCTCCAGTGAACTTTTTTCGGGCTTTGCGTAATATTTTACGTCATTGGCTGCTGTTCTGTGTTTTGTGCTGTATTTCGAGCTGGGGTTTGTTTTTTAATGATTGTTGGAATTTTCATTCAGAATGGGAATGAGCAGACTCGTCGCAGACTAGCCGTCTACTGTGTGAAAGACGCAGTTCTCCCGATCAGATTGCTGGATAAGCTGATGTGTCTGATTAACTACATGGAGATGGCCAGGTATATATACAGTGGAACTCCTCTAATCCAGACACCAATGGGACAGAAGAAAGTGTCCATATTAGTGAGGTGTCCTTATTTCAGGGGTTGAATTGCATGCAAGAACTGTTCTTGGGGAAAGAAAAGGTGTCCTTATTAGAGAGGTGTCCTCATTTCAGGGGTGTCCTTAGAGAGGGGTTCCACTGTCAGGGGTTCCTATAGGAGGTGTCCTGATCAGTGAGGTGTGCCCTGATCAGTGAGGTGTCCTGATCAGTGAGGTGTCCTGATTAGTGAGGTGTCCCGATTAGTGAGGTGTCCTAAACCTTTTCTCCCCAGAGTAACAGGAGTACCGCTGGCATATGTACTGAGTAGAGGTCAACAGATTAAAGTCGTGTCGCAACTTCTGAGAAAGGTATGTCTTTCCTTCCCCCTCTCCCCTCTTTTCTTCTTCTCTCTCTCTCTCTCTTTCCTCCATCTCTTGTTCCATCTCTTCTTCAGTTTCAAATCTGCTAGTAACACTGTCTTTCCCTCACTAAAAAAACTAGGTTTTGATCGTTTTTGCTCCTTCACCAGTTATACGCACATCAGTTGCCTCTCTCTTCCCTCTCTTTAAAACCGGTTCTAAACCTGTTAAACCAGTTTTCTCTTCTCGTCAGGCGAGAGAAAAGGATCTCCTGATGCCAGTACACAAGTCTGAAGCACAGGAGGAATACGCGGGGGCAACCGTTATCGAACCCTCCCGTGGGTACGTCGCCACGGAGATGTTTGTGTTTCCATGGTAACAACCACTCTTGGTTACCTTAGGTACTACAACATTCCCATAGCGACGCTGGATTTCTCTTCCTTGTATCCGTCCATCATGCAAGCTCACAATCTGTGCTATACCACACTTCTGTTCAAGTCCACAGATAGAGAAAGGTATGACATCATTACTCCCATTGACTTTGTATGGAGAGAATTAGGGATTACGTCGTCATCGTTTCAGGTTAACCCCGGACCAGTACATTAGGACACCGTCGGGTAGTCATTTCGTGAAGAGCTCAGTGAGAAAAGGGTTATTGCCGGAAATTCTGGAAGATTTGTTGAGTGCAAGAAAAAAGTGAGAACTGTTGTTGCATAATTATACATGTACAGTCGCAAAATTGTAGTTTTGTGAATTTTAGGATTTTCCACGGGGAAATTTGTTGCAAAAATCAGCAAATTGTGAAAAATATGTGCGCCATACATACATACATACATACATACACAATAAGTATGAAGTAAAGTGTGAGCTGTTGTTACATACGTAGATAGTGTGGGTTAAAAAATTAATTTATTATTGTGTTTTTGCGATAATTAGAGAAAATATCTGAACGTGTTGCCTACAGAGCGAAGGCTGAGTTGAAAGAAGAGAAGGATTCATTTCGTCGTAAGGTGCTGGACGGACGGCAGCTGGCTTTAAAGCTTAGCGCCAACTCCGTATATGGCTTTACTGGTGCTAACGTCGGGAAGCTCCCCTGCATTGAAATATCACAGGTGTGCTGGTTTTGTTGGCGATTTTACGATATTCTACAATTTCGCCCCTTTTAGAGCGTGACGTCATTTGGAAGACAGATGATTGATCAGTCCAAAAACCTCGTTGAACGGAAGTACTGCGTCGCCAACGGTTACCCCTTTGATGCCAAGGTACATACAATCAACATGTGTATAGCGGAACCTCTCTATTCTGTTTCACTGAGAACAGTTCTTGCATACAAATTACCCCCTGAGGTTTTGTGCATAGGCAGAGGAGTTCCACTGTGAATGTATGTTGTACATGTGCAACCTGATTCGTTGATTCCCAATTGGAGAGCACCTCCGATGATGTCATCACAGGTGATATACGGCGACACGGACTCGGTGATGGTGCGGTTTGGAGTCGGGACGGTGGCAGAGAGCATGGAACTGGGACGAGAGGCTGCAGAGATGATATCTGCGACATTTCCTCATCCAATCAAATTGGAGTTTGAAAAGGTCTGTCTCACAACCACACCCCTTTTCTTTTCTGTGGAATGTTGACTTAACCCTTCTCTCCCTTTCAAAGGTGTACTTTCCATACCTCCTTATCAACAAGAAAAGGTTTGATACACCCATACTCCCATACTTCTAATATTTCACTGTTTATTGTCGCAATCTCCTATACCTTCATTATTCCAAACTCTCATACCTCCATTCTTCCACACTCTCATACCTCCATTCTCCCAAACTCTCATTCTCCAAACTCTCATACCTCCATTCTCCCAAACTCTCATACCCTCATTCTCCCATTCCCCCACTCCAGGTACGCAGGGCTTTTTTTCACGAGACCGGAGACCCACGACAAGATGGACTGCAAGGGGATCGAGACAGTTCGTAGAGACAACTGCCGTCTGGTGGCCCGGCTCATCGACACCTGTCTCCACAAACTACTCCTGGACAGGTACCGTCCCATTCCCACTTTCTCATTCTCCCACTCCGATATCTCATACTTTAGATACACTCCAATTTTGATGCTCCTTATTACTTCCGTACTTCAAATTTTGATGCCCCATACTTACATACTTGCAAACTTGATACTTCGATTTCACATGCTGTAAGTTAAATTGTCATGTTTCATGTCTCATAACCCAAATCCTCATACTTCCATGTCCTTACTCATGAGCCCATACTTTAATACTTTCATGTCTCTAATTACATTCCTTCGTACTTCAAATACTTAGTCTTTCAATCTTCATACTTCCATGTCTCCATGTCTCCATACGCCCATTCCAGGAACCCAGACGACGCACTGTCGTATGCCAAACAGACGATATCCGACCTCCTCTGCAACCGAGTGGACATATCTCAACTGGTCATCAGTAAAGAGCTCACTAGGACAAGTGCCAGCAAGGAATATGCCACTGGACCTAAACTGGCTCATGTTGAACTAGCTGAACGGTAAGAATCTTTTATTGAAAAAAAAACAGTTTTCCAACTGTAGTTAAAGTTTTGTAGAGTGCGAAAATTTCCAGTAAATCATAAAGGCTGGAAGGGAGGGAGAAAGGAAGTATGTCAACCAGCTTTGGCAATAAAGGCTTTGCTTTACCTGACTCTGACTGTATTAATACAAATTATAGATTACGTAATGGGTAATAAGAATTATAGATTACGTAATGAGTAATGTGAATTATAGATTACGTAATGGATAATGTAAATTATAGATTACGTAATGGGTAATTAGAATTATAGATTACGTAATGGGTAATGAGATTACGTAATGAGTAATGAGAATTATAGATTACGTAATGGGTAATGTGAATTGTAGATTACGTAATGAGTAGTCATCAGATGGACTACTATTCTGCCAGGATGAGGAAGAGGGACCCTGGCTCTGCCCCAAACCTTGGCGACCGAGTACCTTACGTCATCATTGCCGCCAAGAAAGGCACACCGGCTTACATGAAGTCTGAGGTAATGTGTGCCAAAGTTTTTTAAGGAAGGAGAAAAAAACGAGATATTTTGCTGCTTTGTAGGTGTGGTTTATTGTGTAATAACCCCCTCCCTCCCTCCTCTCTCACCCAGGACCCGCTGCATGTCCTAGACAACGGAGTACCGATTGATACGTCCTACTATCTCGAAAACCAACTGCTCAAACCTCTTCTCAGGATATTTGAACCCATCCTCGGAGAAAGGGCCAAGAACGAACTCCTGCGTAAGTCTTGATGATAATTATCGATACTCAACTTGCAAAACTGATGGTTTTTTGGTTACATTGTGTTTCCACTAGAGAAGTAGGAAATACAAGTGACTGCGCAAATATTCATACCAAATACAAAGAAAAAATAATTTCCAAAGAAAATATTTGAGCAAAGCTTATGTAAACTGCACGTTTTTTTTGCTAACTTGACAAATCATCTAATCTGTTAACTGGTAAAAAGGTTGCAAAGATAAAACCAGAAAAACTCTATTTTTCCTGTCCATTCTTCCTGTCTTCCATATACATGAAATCTGTAAAATGGTAAAAAAAAACCTGCACAGTATCTAAGAAAACATTTTCTCTCTCCCCTGTCCTCCTCAAAGACGGCCAGCACACCATGAGTAAGTCTGTGGTCCCGTCTTCCGGAGGCAGTGGAATGCTGTTTAAATTCACCAAGAAGAAACACAAGTGCATAGGTTGTCGTGCCGTCATTGACAGAGACGGTATGTGTTAATTACCGACTTAAGGCTTCTTTTGTTGTTATTAGATCAACAGAGGACGAGTTAAGGTATAGGAATCAAGTGTTTCTAAATCTTTTGAATGCCAGTGAACTAACTTGGTGTCTATAGGCTCTCTGATCTATTTGATGCATACATACAGTGAGATAATGGAGCATTGATGTGTGAGGTAAAGAAGGTGTTGTGCAACTTCTATGGTTCATGCAGTAGACCATTTGGTGTCTCAACAATTCTCTACAGTGTATACTTAGTGCCACCTTACTTCTTCTTTCTTCTTTCCCTTCCTCTCCTCCCTCCCTCTCCTCCCTCCCTCCCTCCTCCCTCTCTTCCCTCCCTCTCTCCCTCCCTCCTCCCTCTCCTCCCTCTCCTCCCTCTCCTCCCTCCCTCTCCTCCCTCTCCTCCCTCTCCCTCCCCTCCTCCCTCCCTCCCTCTCCTCCCTCCCTCTCCTCCCTCCCTCTCTTCCCCAAGATCAAGCTGTGTGTGCCCACTGCTCTAAGGACGAATCGTCCATCTACCAGAGAGAAATGACTCACCTCGCTGATCTAGAAAGAAAGTTCAGTCGTCTCTGGACCGAGGTGTCAGCGGTGTCCAGGGGAGTCTGGCACGAAGACGTCATCTGTACCAAGTATATAATATACAGTGGAACCTCTGAATAAGGGACACATTGAAGGTGCGAGGTGTCCTTTATTCAGAGGTGTCTATCTGAATGTATTAGTATGGGGCAGAACCAAGTGTCTTTATAGAGAGGTGTCCTTTATTCAGAGGTGTCACTAATGTATAGTATGGGCAGAGAAGTGTCCTTTATTCAGAGGTGTCCTTTATTCAGAGGTGTCACTAATGTATTAGTATGGGGCAGAACCAAGTGTCCTTTATAGAGAGGTGTCCTTTATTCAGAGGTGTCACTAATGTATTAGTATGGGGCAGAACCAGTGTCCTTTAATATCTAGAGGTGTCCACTAATGTATTAGTATGGGGCAGAACCAAGGTGTCCTTATAGAGAGGTGTCCTTTATTCAGAGTGTCACTAATGTATTAGTATGGGGCAGAACCAAGTGTCCTTTATCAGAGAGAGGTGTCCTTTATTCAGAGGTGTCACTAATGTATTAGTATGGGGCAGAACCTAGTGTCCTTTATAGAGAGGTGTCGCTTACCAGTGTACTAATTATTAGCTGGTGTGGCAAAGAACAGTGATCCTATTAGCAGAGGTGTCCTTTATGAGAGAGTGTCTTTATATTCAGGGTGTCACTAATGTATTAGTATGCAGAACCAAGTGTCCTTTATAGATAGGTGTCCTTTATTCAGAGGTGTCACTAATGTATTAGAGAGAACCAAGTGTCTTTATAGATGAGGTGTCCTTTTTTCAGAGGTGTCACTAATGTATTAGTATGGGCAGAACCAAGTGTCCTTTATAGAGAGGTGTCCCTTTATTCAGAGGTGTCACTAATGTATTAGTATGGGGCAGAACCAAGTGTCCTTTATAGAGAGGTGTCCTTTATTCAGAGGTGTCACTAATGTATTAGTATGGGGCAGAACCAAGTGTCCTTTATAGAGAGGTGTCCTTTATTCAGAGGTGTCACTAATGTATCAGTATGGGGCAGAACCAAGTGTCCTTTATAGAGAGTGTCCCCTTTATTCAGAGGTGTCACTAATGTATTAGTATGGGGCAGAACCTAGTGTCCCTTAATAGAGAGGTGTCCTTTATAGAGAGGTGTCCTTTATTCAGAGGTTCCACTGTAATAACCAGCTTTTATATGTAAAATATGCCCATGAAAATCATGAATTTTTTTTCTCCATACCTATATACAAAAAGAATAATGTTTACTCTCCTCTTTCTGCTCCCTACATAGTCAAGATTGCCCGATATTCTACATGAGGAAGAAGACTCAGAAAGATCTAAATGAACAGGACAAAACCATCAGACGTTTCACGGCATCGGCTTATGATGGGGACTGGTAAATAATGCGTTCTCCATTATTATTATAATGCTACTAATATTGAATGATGACTGCAGCAATCTCAAACTCAATTGGTTTTTCATTATTATCTGCGTAATAAAATTGCTTAACTTTATCAAATAAGACCATCAAACGCTTTAAAACATCAGCTTATATATGGGGGACTGGTTAGCTATAATTATAGCTTTATAATGTTCTTGATTATGCTACGGCTGAAATGCTTTTACATGTGTGACACTGTCTATAACTAATATGACCATTTTTTTCATTGTAGCTAGCTACCTACGTTGTTCAAGTTCAGCTGTACTTTTGAAGGGCCGGATCCTTTATTTGACGTAAAGCTGGATTTGTTCGACCGCGATTTGCTCATTGGCCACCAGATTGGTAAAACAAAAGCGCATATCGATGGGATCGGGGAGCTTTCTCCGAGTGCTTGACGAAGTAACGATGGTTCTCGCGACTGCAGCATGTGCTGGTCGTCCCCTCCCTCGCAGCCAAGTCCGTCCCACAGTACGTGTCGGTGAACGCATGCCGTTGAAGTCGCCTATCTCGGCCGCAGCCAAATCCCGCCGTTGCTGACGATTCACAGAAGTAATCCTCTCCGACGAACGCCGTGGGTGAGGGGCGCCCGCTTCGCACGGGCACGCGCCGGCTGGCGTGAGCGCTTGGGACGGTTACCTTTCGTCAGTCCGACGACGAAGGACCAGATGTGCGTCGCCAGGTCCGTAGTCGTATCGTCTAGCGTGCCGCCGCGCAGTGAGGCTTATTCCCGCTCAAGTACGGATAGTTGATGGAGTTCTCTCTCCGGCCGGAACGTTGAAGAAGGCTCCAGCGCTGCCGATCTGGTACGCAGCGATCCTTCCGCAAACGCTAGAGTACGGCGTTGCGCTGTTGATCGCCACAGGCCCCAGGCAACCACCGGCGCTTGTAGCACCTGTCGCGCTGGCTATGCCGGCCACGCACACGTGGGGTCGGGTCTGTGATAGACCTGTGACAGTGTTGGCTGTCGGCGAAGTCGGAGCTTAGATCCGTACAAGGAGGCGAGTCGGCTCTTCTAAGTCGAATTTATATTTTCCTCCATCCGTGCCGCCACACGTGGTGCGTGAACTGGTAACCAGATCAGCCATCTCCTTCTTTCTCCTCCAATCTTCCGCTATCTCGTCGTACTCGGCCGTTATCTCCTCCGCGTGCTGCTCGAGCGCGGGCCCCGTCTCTCCGGCGAGCCCCGCCACCGCTCTCTTAGCGCTCTCAAGAACCTCAACGTCCTCTTTCAGCTCTTTGAACGCGCACTTGAACTCATCCAGAACTGCCGAAACGTCGTCCACTTTGCAGTTGAGCTCGTCGGATTTAGTCATCAGTTGCTGGAGGAGGTCTTGTGCCTGCTGTATCTTCTGGGAAACATCTAGACTCAGACGAGACGACGAAACAAGTGAAGAGACCATAAAGAGACTACACAAGGACTAGCTAAGTTTACCTTGGCCGTTGCACATGGCCGTTTGCAGCAGGGAGGCTGCTAGCAGAACAAGACAAGAGGAGTAGAAATTCAAAATCGTCATCATAGCTCGTGGGCTTGTCTCTTTTTCGGTAGTTTGCTAACTAACTAACTACTTGCGTGCTTGGAGTGATAGCTACTGCAAAATATTCATCATGGCTCTGGTAGGAATTCTGAGGTGCTGTGCTATTGGTACTGGCTGGCACTTGCAAGGCGGTGACGAATTTTTCGCGCGACATCGTCGTCGAGTGTGCATGCGCGGTGGACTCAAACGCGCATGCGTGCAGCGAATTGTACCCCTTTTCTCTCACACTCTCTCTCCCTCCCCCTACCCTCTTTCGCTCTCCTCCTTTGTAATAGTGCATGAAACCTCTGAAAATACCTTCCTATTATAGTAAAGGAGAACCTCTCCTATAAAGGAGACTTGGTTCTAATACATGGTACCACTGTGCCTTTTCGACGTCCCCCAAAACTAAATTAGTTTACTGTAAAAACGACATCACAGCACCATGATAAACAAACATAATACATACATTACTCTCAGTGATCACTTTAATACAACAGCAAGCTATACACATTATGCTCTAGACACTGAGAGAAACAAGCTACAGGGCAGTTGCAAGAGTTCCATCTCTAGTCACTGTCAGAGTCGCTGTCAGGCAACTTCTCTTCTTGTGCCGTTCAATCTTTCTCTTGTGTCTTCGATCTCTGCTCCTCCAGGTCTTCTATTGACTCCTGTGAAGGAGGGGGCGTGGCTTTGTGCATATTAATTACTGTGTCAAGAACAACCCCTGAAAGGACACCTCTCTAATAGGACACCTTTTCTTTCACCAAGAACAGTTCTTGCATGCGATTCAAACCCCTTGAAATAGGACACTCACTAATATGGAACTGTCCCATTGTGTCTGGATTAGGAGTTTCACTGCAACATCCATAGTTACACATTGGTATCCTGATATTAAGGGGCTCGCTGTAATCCTGCTCATCATCTCCACCTGTGCATGGTCAATCTCTTCTTCCTGATGATGATGTTCCGTCTCTTCCCTCAGTTTCGCAGCTTCTCCAGCTTCCTTACAAACAACAAACAAACAGTATTACCACAAACAATTGGCAGCTATTCAGATCAGCAAATTGGCAGTCAAGAAGAACAGTGAAATTTACAACAGATTAACGCAAATTTCTTAAAAATAATTCCCAATGGCAAATGTGACAAACACACAATTGCAAGATTTTAGGCCACGACAAAACTTTCCACACTTGTTTATATAGTGTTGTGTACTACACGTAGAGAGCGACAGACCAGGTTTGGAAGTACTGATCTTCTGGGTTGGGCTCGTTTTCCTTCTTACTGAAAGACCCGCCAGCAGCGCTGGACGGACGAAGAATATATAGGAGGGAGGAGGTAGGAGGATGGATATATCTACACGAGATAATAGAAGACGAGTGGAGGATAGTAGGAGAGGGAATGAGATTAATAGCTGTATAGTGTCAATCGTGTACCTCACGCTCCTGCGAGAGTCCTGCGATTTAACAAATCATAGCAACTTTGTATCATACACGAGTGTATGATTGATCGTCCTGCGACTTACAGTGTATGAGGACATGGCTGCGCGCCCCACGCGCTGCTGCTAGCTAGTTCATCTCAGTCTCAGCCGCAGAGCCATGTCCGCGACAGACCACACTCACAGAGAGAGTCGAAAGAGACGAGCAAACAGCTGAGGCGACCTTGTGTGCGTGCAACAACACGGTCAGAGTGCACGGTGCCCGTAAACGATCAGTAGCTGCCTATTTATGCGTGTGCGGACACGCATCCGTATATGGACCAGCGGGTGAGAGAGTCACAAACAAAAACACTGCCGTGCGCGCGAGGAGTTCTACTTGGCTCGTTCGCGCTAGAGTCGTCTGAGGAACTAAAGCACGCAGAGACAATCCTGAGCCTTCGTCGCCATGTGCTGGCTGAGGGTCTACCAACATGTACACAACGTCTTCTGCGCTAGCGTAACGCGATTCCGGTACGTCATTTTACTGTAATGATGACGCACGTCATTTGATCATCGTTATGCGACATAGCGTAAAATTTAATCGGCACACAGATCCTTTACTTGCCTAGAGCTACGGCCTGAGTCTAGTGGTGCTGAGAGTACAGAGCAAAGAGGGCATTTCTAATTAACCGAGAGGATGACTGACCTGAGAAAATCGAACCTTTGATGGACGCGCGAATTTGTCGTCAAGAGATCGAGGCACTTTACATGTGGAAAAAATACAGACAACTTGCACAGAAGATATTACAAGAGTAGTTAGCAGTTTTGTTATTCATTATTAACATCATATTTTTTAGCAGCTCATCATGTCATAAAAGAGACATGCCCATATGAATCCTTTTCAAACCCGTGTTCTTTGTTTAGCAGTGTGGCTACGACGTGACTCTGAATTGCCATTTTCTTCTTCCTCGCATGTTAGAAACCCCTTTGAGCTCTCTCGGTTCCGTTTACACAATAATAACCCGTTCTCTGGCGCTGTCTCTGTGGTGTTTCTTGCTGTACGTGTGCT